TCATGTATGTAGTCTCCTCGATGTACTTGTTAGGCATGTCATGTATGTAGTCTCCTTCATGTACTTGGTAGGCATGTCATGCATGTAGTCTCCTCCATGTACTTGGTAGGCATGTCATGTATGTAGTCTCCTTCATGTACTTGGTAGGCATGTCATGTATGTAGTCTCCTTCATGTACTTGGTAGGCATGTCATGCATGTCGTCTCAATCATGTACTTGTTAGGCATGTCATGTATGTAGTCTCCTCCATGTACTTGGTAGGCATGTCATGTATGTAGTCTCCTTCATGTACTTGGTAGGCATGTCATGTATTTCGTCTCCTTTATGTACTTGGTAGGCATGTCATGTATGTATTCTCCTTTATGTACTTGGTAGGCATGTCATGCATGTCGTCTCAATCATGTACTTGTTAGGCATGTCATGTATGTAGTCCCCTTCATGTAGTTGGTAGGCATGTCATGTATGTAGTTGGTAGGCATGTCATGTATGTAGTCTCCACCATGTACTTGGTATGCATGTCATCGTAGAAGATTAAAACGTACATGTAGACACACACATTTACCATATCAGTGGAACAATATGTGTCAGATTTTGACTCCATTTTTTACTGTATTCTTGGAATAGGACTACCATATTCAAAATATAATCTATTTCCAAAATGGCTGGAGTTAAAGGATGAAACAAGAGTTGCGTTTACACCAAGTTAATATCTATCTGAGGTAAACGAAGTTAAACAGTTACTTGGTAAGTTATATGATATTGAACTAAATGAGCTCAGATCATCCTAATATTATCAGTGATGTCATACAAATATTCTTTGAAGTGCTGACAATAGTACAATTATTAACATGGAATTTCCGTTTTAGGATTATCGACACTGGTTTGTGAAATTGGTTGTAGCTCTGGCACCGGACTGTGTCGTTTAGCTACAGACTATCCCAACCCTAGATATTATGGTATCGATATTTCCCAGTCCGCTATTAAAACTGCAACATCACGGGCAGATGCAGCTAATCTAAGCAACGTAACTTTTAGTTGTGCCGATGCCACAAGGTTACAGGATGATTGGGAAGCTAAATTCGATGTTGTGTATTGTATGGACGTGGTCCATGATGTACCTCGACCTGACATACTTTTAGAAGAAATCCATCGCATTTTAAAAAAAAGGTGGATTTTTCATCATGGTGGATATTAATGGTCACACCAAGTTAACTGATAATATGGCCCTACCTTTCGCATCTGCGAACTACATGTTTGGTTTATTTGCCTGCATGCCAATGTCACTGTATGCAGATGGTTGGGGTCTTGGGCCAATGTGGGGCCAGGAAAAAGCGTATGAAATGCTAACCAAAGCACATTTTGAGTGTTTGTCAATCTCTGCATTGAGCCCATCATTTTTAATTTATGTAAACAAAAAATCTCTGAATGATCTGTCAAGATAAACGCATATCATAAACTTTCTGTAAACCCAAATATATGTATGTTTACCTGACTATACCTAAATTATAACAACCCAACACAAAGTAAAAATTTATAAGAGTTAGTGTTATTTTGTTCAAAGACGAAAGTCAACAATGCACCTCCTAAATATTCTCACATGTAAAGTAAAGCTTTTAATCACAGTTTCAGAACGGGAGAATGGTCGAACAAACATGGTGTGACATCATGCCCAAAATTAAATCAAAGAACGCTTAGAAAGCACTCATGTATAGGAGGGTATGTAAAGTACATTCAAAATGTAAGATTATCCTTTCAAACAAACAGCTTGGCAACTAATATTTTGCTGCTGTTTGAGATGCACAACATGAAAATACGTGGAAATGATGCGACGTCTTTGCGTTCATATTTATATTTATATTTACATTAAAATGAATGACATTAAGTGATCTTGTAACTGATTGTCACACTAATATCTCTTTATGTAAGATTTCCCAACATTGATGCTTCAAACCGTACTATGACATCACTCCATCATTATATTTTTTTTACAAAACGGGGAAAATCCAATCACTTTGCATTCCCATCATTTCTAATGGCCCATTGTGATTATTTTTTAATGTAACAGAATCAGTTGAAAAAATAATGCTGTTGAAAATGCTGCAGCACTTCAACATCTAACCAGCTCTGGAGGCAAACTCTTAAAACTACTTCATTTAAGGGAGAACCGACCTTGGCATTCATGATAGTTATTGAATTTGACCCATACTGAATACATTAAGCCCGGGTGACACTCAAAATGGAAGATGGGTTGAGAGGCTTAACTCATTGAAACGTGTTCTATATCTTATAAACTATGCATGCTAGACATCTACGAGTTAGCAGATATATCACACGTGATTGTTAGTGAAAGAAAGGGAACGTTAGAAACAAATTAGAAAATCCTATCCACTCTTGTTCTTGTGTACAAGAGTTACGTGAAGAATGGTACAGACCAGACACATCTGCTACTGAACAAGCAAATATGAAAGATATGGCATTGGTACTCAAACACACGTATAGCTACAAGAAAATCAGTACCTTGGAGAAGTCGTTTTAAGGTAGCGGGACTAATATTTGCATACTTGTTTTTATCTTCTAATTGTGACCAAATGACTACAAATAGACCCAGGAAAGTATATAAATATATATGCCCGTATATGCATTCTACGGTGCTTAATCAAATTTGAAAAATTACTTTTTTTGTAAAAAAAATAATTACGCATTTATGCTGGTGGTAAGAAGTTTTTTTTTTTCACTTTTCCTAGTTGTTCCAATAGTCTGGTAAATTGAATGTGCCTGGTCTGTTTTATTCAAGCAACGCGTTTTGAAATGTAGTGTCCTGAATTTTATTTTATTTTTAGTTGCATTGCCCCCAACTCAAACAACAACACATTGGTATCCATGAAATAGTTTGTCTGGACACATTCGAGTTCCTCTCATTGTCACCTTAAAGCTGTGAAAATTTGGTGTTAATCCGACGACAATAAGTATACGTTATTTTTGTTGAAGACATAAACATAAACTCGTAGAAAATGTCGATGAAGTCACAGCAAAGATTTGCAAGCTTGTTTATCTGCACAAGCGATTTGTTTTCCCATCAAGGTCTGTTTTAACATGTGTAAGGGCATCCAAATGTGTAAGGCTATTGGAAACCAAAAAATAAAGGAATGGGAAAGCTATAGTTTGATAATATCGGCAGATTAAAACACCAAAATTAGTGATTTTCAACAGAAATAATAGTCTCGCTACCTACTGGTTGTCTCATGATACATGTACCATGATAGATGGAAAGGCATTAACACAAGCAATTAGCAGATGTTGCATTTGATCAATATGATCTACACATGATAACATTTTCCAGATGATATGAAGAGCTAGTGGTAACAGGCCAATTCTACACAAAATTAGTTCCCATACCAAATAATTTGAAGAAGTTGGTTGATCTGTTTGAAAATAATACTGATTCATAAAACTTGGGTCAGCAACTCATTACTAGTGCAAGAACAAATCTAGAAGAAGATAGTTATTTCAGGTTGTTTTTGAAGAAGACAAGATAGCTTCTGAATCCTTTCACAGTACTAATGTCAGTCTCGTGATGTCAAATCCCGATGAAGCAGATACACAAAATATTTTGCATGCTATAGTAGTAGTAGCAGGAGAAGGTAAAGCACACTTTGCAGGGCAACGGTGTTCAGAGATTTTTTCCGATCGGCAAAGGAAGATAAGCAATTATAGATTGCAGTGCATGAAATCAAACTCAATGATGCAATCCGTAAGATTTTACCATCGTATCACACAGAAATATGATGTGACACTGTCAGTTTGTTCTGTAATCTCAATATACTGATTTGTTAGATGATTTTGGTGTTGAAACCCTAACTGATACGGCAATGGTGGAAATGGACATTTGTGGACTGAACACATTAAATCAAAGTGATGACTTAATCAATTATGTGCGTTACCGGAAGGTCGCCACCAACACATCCATCCTTGCAACAGCATATCAACAATACACTAGCAGAGTATGGCTTGGTATGCATCTAACATTTCATGGCCACCTTAGATGATATGCTGAAACTAGTGAGGACTTGAAACATTGCAAGTGTAGAAGCTGTAACACACTTCATTTAAGAAACTGCTATGTACTGGGGCGTGTGGTTGTAGTAACCGATTTTGTATGACCCCAAACATTGAAGACTCTGATGAGAACTAGTAACATACCACCACTAATTCAGTAATCTGCGCATGGAAGATCAATTTGAATATGTATGTGAATACTATTATATTTTGTCTTATGTTTTAGAAATGACTATAAATGTATGGATTTTATGCATTGTATACACGCATACCGGTTTATCATTTGTGTCTAGTAGATGTACTCAATTGTAAACTAGAGTGACATTCTGCACTAATTTGCACATTCAATGTCATCGGGGCTTAATGTCTTCAGTATGACTCAAAGTCAATAACTATCATGGATGACACCTGCTATCATTCCTTCCTCCCATAAATTCTTCAAATTTTCCCTCAGTCTAGATATATATGCGGTATGTACTTGTACAAACTTCTGCATTTTGCGTGACCAATTGCAGCTGGTGGTGATCACGTGAATCGATTGATGAAAACCAGATCAGGTACTAAGGAGAGAAATGTGGGTACACGGAGAATACAAACCCGGTCATCAAATAAACATTCCCCCAACAGATAGCGTTTATTATTTCAAAACACGGTCAAATAGGTCACAGTTTTTGGATATTATTTTTGACACAGAAGTATGGTAATTGTGACAATGTTTACTGACTTTAGCGAAGCGCATACTGGAATTAGTGGGTTTACCTTGTATGTCGATGTCACAGTGCATGTAATTCCCAGCAACCATATATGGTTTGTATACTATAATGGTTGGTGGAAAACAGTAGTTTCTAACATTTGCAATAATGAATTGTAAACGCTTGGCCCCTCTAGAGAACAGTAACAAAAATTGTGTACAATTCTTTTTTCAAACCAAAATATTTCTTGCTCATTTTAATCTTTATGACTACCATGGATTTTACTGAGGCCCTTTGAATTGCAGTTTTAAAAATAACTATCCAACCAAGATACTACAAATCCAATCTGATTAAAATCCGATGTAGGTATGAGGCTCCAATTTTTTTTTTTTTTTTTTTTTAATATTTTTTGATAACCCTTTATATTATATTTATTTGTATTTTAGTTTGATCATGTCGATTTTTTGTTTTTTCTTGCCGTTAATCAGTTCTTAGAAAATCGTGTCCCAGTCGCCTCTAACTACATCTGACTCAATGCCTATACAAATCTCGTACAAATCTCGCCCAGGGACCAGCCAATCAGATCACAGGTTACAAACGCGCCTGAGCATGTATGAAAACAGATGGACCAAGAGGTGAGTATTCTAATAGATTATATGCGCACATCAACGTGACGCCATAAAATCATATGTATTACGTATCAATAATCCCGGCACATTTACAAAGTTAAGCTTTTTATTGAATGAAGACTACAGTGTGTTTTACGAAATCAATGTTTTAATATTACGATAAATCACAATCTAGTGTTAATATCAAATATATTAAAAACATAACAATATTTCTTCAATCTACCATTAATAGGAGTGTCATATTCTAGATATAATCTATTTCAACAATGGCTGGAAACGAAAGAAGAACTTCGTCTGGGCCTTCTACCATCAAAATATCTGAGTAATATTATGGAGGTCAAGACTTTACTCGGTATGTTTCTACTGTGTTTAATGACACCCTAGTGAATGTACGAAAACAGAAGTCATTTTATATGTATAGGATAAAAACTTTTTCCTGTCACAATGTTTGTGCGAACTTTGATTGGTGGCCTGATACAGGTTGCAATTTTCAGTTTATATCCATTCATAGTCTACCAGAGCAAGGCGAGTTAAAAGTTAATACATGTTAAAAGTTGCGTGTAAATGAGCTATGCAATAGACGCGGAGCAAATATGTTTGTTTTACGTTAGATTTTCTATGTACACAGTGTCAAAAATCTGATGTTTTTTTGTACATTTCATGTTGAGAATACCTTTATCAAAATGAGTTCACATATTGTGTCAGGAAAAGGCACTAATATTAGTAGTCTTTTATCCAAATTTACTCAGAAATCGTTGGAAGCTCAGCCAAGCACAAGACACACAGCTATTATGACCCTGCATCTAGTACATGTGCAAATAAGTGCCCCAAACTCTTCTGATGTACGAGTTAAGTTCATTTAACATTAATAAAAAAGTGAACAGAGTTGGCGTCATGTAATTGTTATGACGTGTTATATTCCAGAATCATCAGCTATGGTGTGTTAGATTGGATGCGCAGGTGGTTTTGGTTTATGTCAACTAGCCAGAGACTATCCAACCTGCACATACCATGGATTGGATATTTCAAAACCATTCATCAATAACGCCAAAATGAGGGCGAGCTCAATGAATCTACAAAACGTTACATTCCACGTTTCAGACGCAATTAAGATGTCAGATGTCACTCTATTACGATGGAGGTTTAGGTCTTGGAGCCGCCTGGGGAGTAGAAAAGGCAGAAGAGATGTTAAATGAAGCCGAATTCGATTGTTTCTCAGTAGTCGATATAAATAACGAAATGAATTCTGTCTATACCTGCAAAAAGAAAGTAAATAAATAAATAAATAAATAAATAAATAAATAAATTAAATAAATAAATAACTTGGTGCTACGTTACCAGTGACACAGTGAAAAAAGACCCCGTAAAAATGTATATTTTCCTCCAATCCCTTATGTCATGTTTTTGTCAAAAGGGGGGTCCGATTTTGTAGCCACTGCTCGTTAGCATCTTTCAGGCATTTTCAATGTGTGAATTATAGGGGACTAAAATGGCTAATAAAAACATCACATTGGTGGTCGGGTTTGGCAGTGGAGTGGGAAGATGGTATTCGCGTCTGCAGACATTTGCTCATTCCGCTATTCACAGATCCGATATTAAATAAAATGTTAAACAATGTATGCATTTTCATTCTTCAAGTTGTTTTGCTCAAGTTATACTTTTCAAATTGATGAATACAATTGAAAGCAACGCAAAGTGCAGCTGTTTGACATGTAACTTGATTCGCATAGTAGCAGTGTCAGTTCAATGTGCCTTCGTTATGTGTACCCTACTACTTTCGATATACAACACACGGACACTTCTCAGATAAGATTGCATTAGAAAACGCCCCCAAGGTTACTTGTTCTGCCACTAATTTGAGAGATCGATGGTTTACATAAGAGTTGTCGGTTATGTAAATGTTATGGTGTTGGTCTTTCCAAGACGCTGGGGCTCCTACTCGAGCGCTTGAGTTGTAATTATCAAATGTCGCTTTCCTTCAATGCGACACCTCCAGGATGGCGGATAATTTAATATCGTCATTGACATCTTCACCTTGGATGTCGTACATGATCTACGATCTACCTCGACCTGACCTCGTTCATTACGAGATTTTATACATTAGTATATACATTATACATACCAGGCCGATAATATTGACATTTCTCATGCTGCTTGCACGTTCACTTTTTTGTTGAGACGGCACAAAACAATGGGTATGTTTGATCATCTGTTCACTGTCCAGCATCCGAAGAAAATAAACTGGCCCAAACAAAGTCAGCCACTCATTATTTTAATGTCTCATTCAATTAAATGTTTTGACTACTTTAATCACATACACACAAGGCAATGGCGAGTGCTAAAAAAAATGTCATTGCAGCTCAGCAGCCAATCAGCGATGGCCTTACAGTTAGATGGCAATTTCGGTTTCAAATACCCCGGTAAAGTGTTCTATGTTCTTGTGTAATTCATTGTTTGTATTCAAGAGATTTTTCACACAAAAACGACGAATCCGGCCGAATTTTGTTATTGGTTGGCTTAATATTACCCCCAACGGATCGTATTTTTGTGAAAGATTGCCATTTTTGTCCTTACTTGTAGGAATCCGAAAAACGCGTTTCACAACTTGTCTCTTATTTAGTTTTATGCCGCATTCATATGATGGCGGCCCACATATAGTAAATATCGCATTTATTTTATAATCATTTGTGCGCCAGCTGACTGTGGATTACCGACGAAAACTATCTGGAAAAACACGGCTTTTCGGTAAGTTTATCATTGTCAAATGCAACGAAAGTCATCTTTTAATTTTATGTTTATATTGTGGCTTGAATGGCTCCAGTTTAGTTCGTTATTTTGCGTAGTTATATTCCGGGAGTGACGATTTCTGTCCACCGGTTCGATCGAACACCGGTATCTTTTTCCAGTCGCTTGCCTTGGCGACGAGTGATGTTTTGTTGACGATCGGGCCAAAATCGTCTACGGTATTGAAGCCGTAGCTGTAATTATTCATCAAAATGTATCAACATTTTGTACATTATACAATAACTCTTCAATAAAGTAATTGAGCTGATTTGGACTGAAATAAAATATTTTTTTATTTGCAACACATCGCAATTGATCAGGAAATATTCTTTGCTTCAATATTCTGCGTCGATGCCGTGGGCCGATGACCGTTATACAATTTAAAATCAGTTTGCATTGTTCACTATAGCTGTTTACAGTGTTCTTATCATTACTTATTTTATATTTTTTTCTTCCATTCTAGATAATTATACTCAGTATTTGATTGATGCGACGACTGAATAAACGAACCTTGACTGGCGAAGATGCACCAGGATGTGTACACATTTGTTAAAAGTTAAAAAAAATATTCAATGTAATGACAAAAATTATTGATAAAATAAAAAAATATATACTAGTAATTTTCTATTAAGAGTTTATTCAAGTGGGAAAAATATTATGTACAGAAAGATTGCCCGTAGAGTATCGCTACACTGCAAAGTAAGCAACCGTCAGTCGTATAAAGGGGGGGGGGGGCTGTGATTGGTTGTTACTCACGCGAGATTTGAACGGGATATATATAGGCATTGGGTCAGATTCTTGTTGGCTTTCGCAATTACCAAAACTTCAAAAAATAAATACTAGATCAAAATAAAATAAAATAAATATACAAAAAAGGCCAAAACTATGATATTATTTTAATCAGATTGCGGTTGCATGCGCTATAGAGGAGAAATTCTGCTAAAGGACAATATTTATTATGAAGCGCGGTTTGAAAGCGTTTCTCATTTGAATGTTTGAATGGTGTCTGAGCAGGGCGCAAAACCACTGTAATTTGTATTATTATTGTGCGATATGTAGTTGTGATGAGAATTACATTGGATATTGATTTATCATGACCTGCAAACACTGTTCTTTGTAGTACATGAGTAGTTGTTCATTGAAACAATGAAGTTCCTTAATACGCATGTGCACTGGTTATTTGTGTACGTACAATAACAAGCACTGCACATGCGTGGTAGCGCTTTAACTGTTCATTTTACGAGTACTATTGTTTTTTTCCATATTCACTTTTAACACATTTAAATAATATATTTCAGATATATTACTCTACCTGAGCACATTATTCAACTATATTTCCAGGCATTGCATTAGTGAGTGCATGTGATCGTGATGTCGACCAAAATGTTTGTCTTGTGTGCAAAGGTCGCGAACTTCAACTTCTTATAGTGTGGTGCCCTCAACGCGAGTCACCGTCGTCAAGGCCACTTGCATCCAGTGTATAGCTTCTGTAATGGCGACCAACGAGAATGAATTGGAAAGTAACGAGTCTTTTGAACAGCGTATATTCAATACTGTTCAGTCAGGATTTCTAACAGTCTGTCTGTCTGTTGGAAGAGCCACTGGACTGTTCAATACTATGGCGAAGTTAGGAGAACCAAGATCATCACATGATATAGCTCAATCAGCTGGTTTGAAAGAAAGGTACGTAAAGCTGCTTGGTAACGATTACTGCAGTGTTAACTGTAACACCAGAGGCCATCGTATGATATGATAAAAACAAATACATATGCATTTTTGTTCTTCGAATTGGGTCATTATACCACTCACATAATTTATTAAACTGACTACAAACCTTCTTCAGCAAGGTTAACATCTATCATGAGTCACATAAAGGTCAATCGTATGCAAATCGAGTATTGCATCGCGTGCAACAACGACAACATGATTTATGTTGGACTCAAGACTTTAAAACAAATTTAAAAAAAGGGGGCGACTACATTATTTTAAAAATGTATTAAAATTGATAAAAATATCAATTTTGTCATATGTTGACATTATATTAAAATGAGAAAATACACGAGAAAAATATGAACATTTTCTGACATTTACTCGACATCTTGGGACATGGAAAAGCGAGCGCCACCTCGTACAACAAGGTGTAACATGTAAAGGGATTTAGAATAAGATGTAGGAGCAATCGTAATAAGAATAAAGGCATTTATGTAAAACATAATCGATGTATTTCTAAAGAAGGTAAGTTGAAATCTGTAGAGGATTGTAATATGTTTGACCTTGTACATAAACATTTGATAAATTTCTTTTAAACTCGTTCAATTTTATTAACGAGAATTGTTTGTAAAGGATACCCCACCTGAGAACAGTACAGTAAGGTTGTTCCTCACTAACTAACCAACTACACGATCAAGATCTTTCTGAAGCTTAATACAATCGGATGGACTTTTTAAACAAGTGTACAGCTGGAAGGTCATTAACTGACATGATTTGTTTCCACTTTTCACTTATAGAGTAATGACTGCTAATTTATGCAAATTATTTTTCAAACAATCACTACTAAAACAGTAGTTAATACGCTGTCATCATTGTATCGGAAAGTGTGACTGGTAACCAAATAAAGTGAATGAGCGCCATTATTTAACATTCTGTATACATTGTCAGTAATATCAATTATAAATCGATTCACAGATACGTCAGGGAGTGGCTCGGTGCCATGGTAACTGGGAGAATTATTGATGTAAATCCGACCAATGACACATATTATCTTCAACCTCACCGAGCAGAAACGTTGTGCAACCCATCTACAATGATATTCAGCGAAGCAATACCCGCATTATGTGAAGTTTACTCAGACATATTAGAATGTATGAAAACAGATGGACCAAGAGGTGAGTATTCTAATAGATTATATGCGCACATCAACGTGACGTCATAAAATCATATGTATTACGTATCAATAATCTCGGCACATTTACAAAGTTAAGCATTTTATTGAATGAAGACTACAGTGTGTTTTACGAAATCAGTGTTTTAATATTACGATAAATCACAATCTAGTGTTAATATCAAATATATTAAAAACATAACAATATTTCTTCAATCTACCATTAATAGGAGTGTCATATTCTAAATATAATCTATTTCAACAATGGCTGGAAACGAAAGAAGAACTTCGTCTGGGCCTTCTACCATCAAAATATCTGAGTAATATTTTGGAGGTCAAGACTTTACTCGGTATGTTTCTAATGTGTTTAATGACACCCTAGTGTTCGAATGTACGAAAACAGAAGTCATTTTATATGTTTAGGATAGAAACCTTTTCCTGTCACAATGTTTGTGCTAACTTTGATTGGTGGCCTGATACAGGCTGCAATTTTGAGTTTATATCCATTCATAGTCTACCAGAACAAGGCACTGGGTGGCGGGTGTCCTGAGTTAATAGTTTATACATGTTAAAAGTTGGGTGCAAGTGAGTTATGCAATAGACGCGGAGCAAAGTGTCTATGTGTACAGTGTTGAAAACTGACCAGATGGTTTTTTGTAAATTTCATGTTGAGAATACCTTTATCAAAATGAGTTCACATATTGTGTCAGGAAAAGGCACTAATATTAGTAGTCTTTAATCCAAATTTACTCAGAAATCGTTGGAAGCTCAGCCAAGCACAAGACACACAGCTATTATGACCCTGCATCTAGTACATGTGCAAATAAGTGCCCCAAACTCTTCTGATGTACGAGTTAAGTTCATTTAACATTAATAACAAAAGTGAACAGAGTTGGCGTCGTTTAATTGTTATGACGTGTTATATTCCAGAATCATCGGCTATGGTGTGTGAGATTGGATGCGCAGGTGGTTTTGGTTTATGTCAACTAGCCAGAGACTATCCAACCTGCACATACCATGGATTGGATATTTCAAAACCATTCATCGATAACGCCAAAATGAGGGCGAGCTCAATGAATCTACAAAACGTTACATTCCACGTTTCAGACGCAACTAAGATGTCAGATGCATGGACGGGAAAATATGACGTCGTATACTGCTTTGATGTTGTCCATGATGTCCCTAGGGCTGATCTAATTCTGCAGGAAATCCATCGTGTTTTAAAAGACGACGGTTATTTCGTCATGGTTGAGAATAAAAGTTACACCAAACATGCAGATAATATTCCCCTTCCAATGGCTCCTGCATTGTATACCGTGAGTTTATTTGCGTGCATGCCAACGTCACTCTATTACGACGGAGGTTTAGGTCTTGGAGCCGCCTGGGGAGTAGAAAAGGCCAAAGAGATGTTAAATGAAGTCGAATTTGATTGTTTTTCTATAACCGATACCGCAAACAAAATGTATTCTGTTTATACATGCAAAAAAAAGTTAAGTAAATGAGTAATTGTATATAAAACGATATTACATAAATTCGAATAAAATTCTTAAGTCACTAAATGTTTAATGGACTACCTGACTCATGAACAAACAAAAAATACATAATCAAAAGATTGAATTAAATGTGCACGATTCCATTGCACTTGTTCAGATTGTATAGAATGCTAGAATGATATTTGTCCTAATACTGTAATCTAGTAATGACAAGTTGATTTTCTTGCACCAAACAGAAAAACGTGTCAAAATTCGTGTAAATCCACATGATAAGAAATAGGTCAGCGTCACAGTCAACTGACGCTCACGTGATAATAAAGTAATGACGCATGCCCGAGGCGACGACTACCACCTTTTAATATATAGTCATAAAGAATATGGCAACGTAATACATGTGAGTGACACACTTTCATGTTGTTAGTTATTTATTTCAAGCTGATTCCTTCAATTACCTGGAATTCTCAGAACCTTAAGTGCGGGCGTCTGTTTTGTAAATAATGACTTCCGGATCGAACCGTTTTGTGTTCTGCATACAAACCGCATACACTACTTAAGCGGCAATACAGCAATGTCTTCTGTCATTCACCAAAAAAGAATTGCCTACAAATATTAAATGCGGCTTTTTTATGTTAAAATTGTCACATCCATTCCTGTCCAAGGACTTGTGTAGTCATAACACAACACTGTCATACATATACTCACCAAAACTTATGAAATATTGAAGTTGACACATATGTAACACCCTAACCATACACGTAATGTTAGAAATACTATTCTCACTCGACTGAGAATCCGAAATGGAAACCATTTCATATGATTTTTTTTTAAATTCAGTTTCTTGTGTTTATTCAGTGTCAGTTCAGATCCTGATCATTTATTTTTCTGTCTACTGGCAACCAATTACTTAAGACTGAACAAAAAGTAATAATAAATATTCAATTAATAACAATAGTGAGACATTTTGTAATAGTCTTACCAAAGAAATAAGCATTGTTATTACATATAATTTAGGATTATACAATACTTGGGGAGAATCATGATTAGGACTGGAGTAGGTGAGGGGTCCGTATAGTGAAAGGCCTGTTATTAGAATTGAAACATTGTTAAAACAATAATTAATATAATAAATATATTTAAAAATTGATTTGCTTTTTCGTGGGGCAATATACGAGCTACTGAGAATTTTTTCTCTAATTTCTAACGAACCATGGTGTGTGCTTTTATACCTTCCTGTCTAATCAACACAATATCTCTCCATTCCTTTGTGGTAAAAAAGTTTCACAATTTCTGGCTAAATGGTAGATTTGAACTGTTTATTTTTCCTCACTAGTGGTTGAACAATGAAATTTAACATTCAGTTGAGCATTGTTAAGGGCAGTTGGTGTATATTTACATGTAATATCGGCACACCTCTCAGCTACATTCATACCATTGCCAGTGAGTCAGCGGGGGGGGGGGGGCTGAGAAAGTGACATGAAATAAACTTGCAATCAATCTTTAGTGCATTTGTTGCCAGGCTTTTTCTTACAGGGATACTGTCATCTAGATTAATTTTAAAGTGTGCGAAGGGCGTTCAATAAGTAATGCCCCTGATCCACTTCCAGTTGTCTGATGTAGATGAAATTTCGCATGTGTAATGATTTACATCTCTATGGGTTATGTTGCAAAAACAGCTCTGAACTAATTGTGGTTTCTGATTTACAAGTGTTTGAACTGAGTCAGGTGTGAAATGGAGGCATCGTGAATTCAAACAAGAGTTCAAGATTGGGTCCATCACTATGATTCAGAGACCAAAAAAGCCCAGTCAATTGCAGTGGAAGCGCTTGGACTCACCACCTCCAAAGAAGGCGAGGGTGCAGCCCTCCGCTGGCAAAGTCATGCTCACAGTCTTCTGGGACCAGGACGGAGTAGTGATGACAGATTTCCTGGCAAAGGATACCACAATTACAAGAGCATATTACGCTTCACTTTTGATGAAATTCAGAAATTAAGGTATCCTCCTGCAGGACTCCGGTCCACAACTCGCATGTCGCCAGATCAGAAGCACGGTTGAACTTGCAGCCTCTGACTTTCATCTCTTCCCAGCCATGAAGTTGTTTTTGAATGGAAAGCGTTTCCCAGATGATTCATTAATCTCCTGCTATGGGAAATGAGTCCGGGGCAATACTTATTAAAAGCCCCTCGTATGTCTATATATTATGCGTGGGAATTGAGAAAAAATAATTGATACTAAAATTGTAAATTCAATTTAATTCAAGCGGTAAAAGCTGCAGCTATCGATCTTTTTTTCTCTGATTGATAAAACATTTCATGTGTGATTAGTGTTAATTTGGGCTCTGGAAGAACGGCATATACGGTATGGCCGCGGTGTTTCGTCCAGTTCTCCAGAGGGCGCCATCTATTACAAAAAAAATTTCTCAAATTGCCTTTTTGAGAGGCTAAACTCAAGGAGTGGGAAAGTGCATTACTTAAAAAAAATGTGTTTGTCTTACATCTACCCCTCCTATTCTTCTTGTCATTACATTCGCCGCCTATTTACACAATGGAATGTTCCGCTTATTAATGGCATCCATAAATAACAATATTTACTCGGTATAAACAACAGTGTACATTGTCAATGCCTCCTTATACACATATACAGAGCCTATACATTCGCGTACAGTACTTTAGCACGGACTAAGAGATCAAAAACGTTCGCCCGTGCCAATAAACGCTAAGTACGGTTTGAACCTGAACCGTTTTTAAGACCCGGTCCAGATACTTAGCACGAACTAACTTTAAAAGCCATTGTATTAAATGTTTATTTGGACGATTTAGTATATTTAATAACTATTTATTTATTGACACTTAGAAACTTTTCACTCAAAGGTGATGATATCAATTTTTTGATAACTATATTGTTTTTTCATACTTTCATACTAAGACGTAGTGTTAGAGGCGTGTCGAGTAGGGAGTTGTCCTTTGCGGTTATCAAATGTTTATCTGATAAAAACTCACGGTTATGATGCAATTTAGGAAACTGCGTAGTGCTAAACCGAGGTAAATGTTATTTTTATTGGGTAAAGAAATACTTGTAGTTTTTCGTTATAATCGAAATGCTCATGTAGGTATTGATGCGGTAGTTGACACAAACACAAATAGAAATATATATTTGGTAGGTGATTGTAATGCTAGAACTGGTACGGCAGATGAGTTTATCGTTGCCGACTCAACGTACCTCATATACCTCAACTAGCAAATCCAGATTACATCAAGATTGTTTTCGAATAGTTAGAAATTCTAAAATAAAATGTTTACGCTTGTCGTTGGGAAATTAATTAATTCGTTTACAAAATATGATTTACATCATTGTAAACGGTAGATCAATTGGTGACAATGGTGGGGGTTTTACTTGTGTTAATGATAATGGAACAAAATCACTGGCTTTCATAATTGCCAGTACTAACTTGTACGCCCGGAATAGTGGTTGTAGGATTAGTTGTTATGGGTAACAAGTTGACCATCCAAGCACAAAACTCATACGAATCTCTTCGAAAGACAATAATAGGCTCCAGTTTATAAATGCTATAGCTTCAGTATCCTCCATTAATTTACAACTACTGGTTGTTCATTTGCCTTATGTTGACTGTGCTTTGAATTAATTCTCTAATATATTAAAGTCGGCTGGCGTTGATATGCAAATTGCAAATTTTAATCTGTGTGCGTAACTCCAAAATACTTCAGAATGGGTTGAATCCACGTGTACTAAAAATAAAAAAAAATACTAAAAATAACGAATATCAAAATATTTTCTTGAAAAACTAAGGCTTGTTTTTAAATATTAAAATTCTGACATATAGTCTATCCTCAAGTTGTGCATGAACCATAAAAATATAACAACAATTAATATTAGCTTAACTGAATGATTTGAATATTTAAGTAGTATGTATAGTCAGTGTTATAATAACAGCAACAAATTCAATGATCAAAAAGTTTGTTCGGACATTGCAGGACACATCAAAAGAAACGACAAACTTGACAGACGTATTTATTGAGGACATTTTAGCAAGTTTAAATGAGTTAAAGTCGGGTCAATCTACCAGGGGTGGTGGAAATCCGGGTGAATTGTATAAATTTCTGCAGTGTCTTAGTTATGTCTTTTCTAATAACTTTGTATCCAGGTAGTTTTTTTCCGACTGAGTTGGCGAACGGCGTAATTATCTCGCCTTTCAAAAAATGAAACTGTGGCGACGATAAAAATTAAAGTCGACAATACAAACCTACCCCAGACCATTCGTCCCGGTGTTATCGCTATCGCCACACGAGACTCCAGCTTGTCTCCTATACAATTTTCCTTCCGCCCACTTAATTTTAATATTCATATGACCTTTGCACTGACATCGATAGCCAATCGCATTCGACCGCGGACGTCACTCTAAATAAACAACTGAATAAATTAATATATCATATTTGGAAGATAGCGGGTAAATTCAACGTTGTTGGTGTGTTCCTTCGGGTTCCGAAGTCGCACGAAACGCAAGTAAAACAGGTCGATATGTATTAAACATGGCATTTGTTTTCTTGTTTTAACCCCCTTATTACGCAAGCTTCCGTCGAAGTGGTGTTTTTTTCGACGATTTGTGGCATGTTGCAAAACGAACGAAATGTGGGGAAGGGTGAGGTTCGGGTCTTCTCAGTCACGGAAGTGAACACTGA